GGCCGATAGTTCCAAGTGAAAACAGTATTTGCCTCCCCACATCATGAGAAGAGAAGGGGAATGTGACACAAGGTCAAGTTAAATATGGGCCCTCACATGTGAGGAGAGAGAGAAATGATCAAATCTTGGCCCATTAGCGTTACCAGTAGTTAACTGACCCCACCCCATTAATGTTGGGGGAGTGGAGGAGACAACCTGAAGAAATGAGTTATTTGCGACTAAACACTTCAAATGTAAAGATGTACTCAAAAGCTAATTGGTGAATCACTTCAAATTGTTTTATAAATGTTGACAAACTAACAAATTTTTACTTCATTCACACACACACACACACAGACTGTTGTAACTTAGGGAAGGTTACAGAATAGAATAATCAAATGAAGGTTGGTAATGAACAATAATACTTAGAACAAGAACAACACATAAGATTCGCCAGCAGCGCGTAGAAGAATTTCCTGAGATGAGGCTATGTTGAAGGGCATAGGGATCCTCTGTCTGGAGGAAGAGAGTCTGACCAGCACAGCTGGAGATGAATCTCCAACTGCAGACCAACATACACTTACTACTGTATTTATGTGAATGGGGACATCATACCCATTATCATCTGTAGTTATGCTACAACATATATATCCCCCCACAAGAAATATTTAACAAAATAAAGAAACAGAATCTAACAAACCTGGCTATACTGGTTATGTCACTAGTCTTGTTTTCTATGAGAAAAAATAACTTGGCAATAACAAGCAATGCACACATTTTATATATATTTTATAGTAAAAAAAAGAAAGAACAGTAAGATATATAACCTGGTGTTCTTATTGATATTTTTACAAAACAGTGCTCAATGCAAATCTACAGAGCATAAATATTATAAATTAACCAATTTAAAAATATGGTTCCTTCGCTACATAGGAATTACCATATTTCTAAAACAAACTAACAACTTCAAATTCAATTATTTAATTAAATTAAAAGCATCTAGTTCTGTTTCATTTTAAAGCGAATTTTGGAATTGAATCAAATTCGCTTGAAAATGAAACAGAACTAGTGCTTTTAATTTAATTGAAGTTGTTACTTTCTGTTTTTGAAACATGGTAATTCCTGTGTAGCAAAGGAACCATATTTTGTATTTTTAAATCAGTTAATTTATACTATATATATATATATATATATATACACACACACAGACAGACACACCTATGTTTGAAGTGCAACTTAAAGTTTTGTTTCTACCAAACATTTCATCCATAACCCTTTACTCAACAAAATCTTCAATAAGAACAATATTAAGATTAGTTACAGCTGCACTAGAAACCTTGAGCAATATATAGCACAGCATAATAACGTGACAAATACTTAAGCAACTTAAGCAATGTTAAAACAGAAAAAAGTGTAATTGTCAAAAAGGTATTGTTTGATGAATTCTAAATGTATGTCTAAAGGCATCATCTACAAGGTTAGCGTTAAACATAATGGTGGGACAAAATTTTATTTTAGTTCCACAGCTAACAACTAAAAAACAAGATTTTATCATCATAAAATGTCTCTTAACAATATGCAAATGCCACAGTATTCTCAAAATTTTACTGGGATATTAAAACAGATGACTATATACCAATAGTAAATTGGAATTTTGTTGCCAAAACTACACCAGTTTCTGTCCATAGCAATTGATGCAACCTGTGTTTGCTGGAAAGAAAGATTCATACTCAAAAATATTAATGACCAAAATCTACTTAATAAATGAAATGAACTCAAGTTAGCTTGTAATCACAGAAAGAATCTCACTTAAAATATTTTTATTATCCAATTACCACTTGCCCTTCCCATATTTTGAGGTTATATATTGATTACCTCCCTTTAACAATTTTAATGTTTATTATTACTTAACGAGTTACCCAGCATTCCCGTTTTAAACTTTAAGCTTGATTTTTTTTTTTTTACTTTTTACAGTAGCCCTCCTACCTACAATCTACATTTTGTACTTAAACTTAATGTAATATACATATATTTGTATGTTAAATTTGAGTTTTGAATCTGCAGTTAATTTAGCATTCCTTCCATTTTAAATCAAAAGTAATAATTTGTACCTGATGAGTTGGTAGACAATGAAACTAAGTTGAACTTTGAATATCGGTATACGTATATTTATTAACATATACTTCTTAGCTTTATCTAACCACGTTGAGCACTGTTTTGTTTACACCTTATATTAAATTGAGTAAATATTTATTTGCTTACCTGTATATGCACACTAACACACACATATATACGGTTGCTAATATCTAGTTATTTGATTTATCCCCATTAATATATATATATATATATAAGGTAATGAAGGGTTTTGTAATCTGTATGGATAATTCCAAAGAGCTCAATGTAACAACAGAGCAAATATTAATTAAATTAAAAAAGAGCCAACCTTATAAATATATAAATTATAGTCATGGAACCTTAAGGTTGTCTCTTTTTTTAATTTATATATATATATATATATATATAAAATTAATAAACAATAAAATGTAAAATCACCTCATATAGGAAATTGGGTTATTTCAGCATACAAAAACATAGGTTCTATCATCTGTCTTATCAACCCTGGTATGGACCGAGTTCATGTTGGAAATAGAAATTTAACTGTGAAAGCTTAAAAGGAAAAAAAATGTTTATGAAGGAATATAGTTTTATGGTATGCTATATTTATGGGATAAAGTGCTCAATATGAGAGATAGAACGTATGTAAATATAAAAGTGAACATTGAAGTCAACACTCAGAGGCGACAGGCTGTTTCATGCTAGATGCAATCGTCAGCCTGCAGAAAAATTGGGTGAAAAAGTAGCTGTAACTGCTATGTAAAAATGACCGAAAAAAGAAAATGTTTACTATGTTACTTAAAAATTGAAAACTGAAAAAAATAAATTAAAATATACAAAATAAAAAATAAATAAGAAATAACAAGTAAAATAAATCCAAATACATAAACAAATTAACAAACTGCTCCTACTAAAATAACCATTACAATAAATAAAAATAAACAAGCAAAAACAATTAAAAATAATCAATCCACATAAATAAAATAAACAAATTAAAAAAAAACTGCCCCCCCGCCAAAATAAGTTAGAATAGACTACAGCAATCAATCCAAAAATTGGACTCAAAAATAGCTTTAATTACCTTCCCAGACCAAAACAATTAAATAAATGATCTGATCTAATCTCAAATCTTTTTTACTACGTTACTAAAACATTGAAAGACGAAAAGAATAAATATATAAAAAATATAAAATAAAATCAAGTAAAATAAATTAACCCAAATAAATAAATGAACAAACAAACCACTCCCACCAAAATAACTGTCAAAATGAACTACCAACAATGCATCACTGACCTGTATATATAGTCGAGAAAAAACACATGGTCTGATGATTGCATCTAGCCTGAAAAAGCCTGTCGCCTCTGAGTTTTGACTTCAATGTTCACTTATATATATATATATATATATATATATATATATATATATATATATGCACACACAAACAAGTTACACAAAAAATATTTTTCCCACTTTGTTATTAATTTCCCTAACATTGTCCTGATATATAAGTATTTATAAATATATCATTTTTCTCCCATATACGTAAAAACAAACAAAAAAAAAAACTTCTTTCTCTGGGTTTCATGATGCGCAGGCATAGATTTATTAAGAAACGTTCAAACGAACAAAGATAAAACATCTTCCTAACATCATTTGATCTAAACTTTTATAAGAAAATAAATAAAATTATGAAAATAAGATAAATAAAATAAATTAAAAACGATTTAATACCTATGTCCCATAACTGTTGTTACATTTGCATACACCTTTCAGACACTAAGTGTAACAGTAATTATGGGACAAGTCGTATTTAAATATCAAAATTTCATGTCACTGAGACTTCAACCTGAAATCCACAATTATCAAAATCTGTTAGAATTGTAGCGACACAATCATTGTTGGTAATTGGAGAAATGATTTTGCCCAGAATATGGCTGTCCTTTCAATTAATATTATTTCCTTGTTCTCATTTTTGGATGACTGAAATTGTCATGAAATAATTCTATTTCCACTTATTTATAAATGAAATCGTTATGAATAAGTAACAAGTCAATCAACTCGAGAAAAAATTAAAAAGTAGGTTGAACTTACAAGCGATGTTGTATACCAATCAATCTTTAGCCAAGCAATTGATGGATTGATGCATTTGGGCCGAATCCAAATTTATCAAAAGGCATAAAAAGTTTAACTCCATTTATAAACAACTTAGATTAAAAAAAAAAAGGATGGAATTAAATAGAATGATGCACCGAATAAAATAATATTTTACAAATCTTTAAAATAAGGAAGTCATTTGAATATAAACATTTTGATGTCTTGATATACACAATTTAAATTTAAATATACATAAGTAAAATTTAAATAATCCCAATTTATTTACTAGCATTTTCCAAAAAAAAAAAAAAAAAAAAAAAACTGCTCTAGAATGTAAAAAATAAAAAAAAACATTTGAATTTTCAAATATACACAAAAAAAAAAAAAAAAAAAAAAAAAAATAACCCCACAAATTCAAGTGGTATTTTTTCCCTCTGATTTTACGGAATTAAAAAAAGAACATTTTTGTGATGGCAGTCATAAGAAAAGGAAAAGCTACAGAAATTTTTATTCCTTTGTTATTTTGCTTTTTGCTTTTCTGGCGCATCAGGACATTTGCCAATTGTTTCAAGGCACCAATATGAAAACTGACTAGATAATGTGTTTAGGGAATACAGAGCAAGAACAACCAGCAGCAGCTATGATCAAATGACTGACAAACCCCCACCCCGACCCCTCCAATCCTCTTTTAGTATTTCATGAGGATGGGGGGGGGAGAGAGATAGATAGAGTAGAGGAAGACAGAAATAAATATTTGTGTGTGTATGTATGTGTGTGTGTGTGTGTGTGTGTGTGTGTGTGTGTTTTCAGTTCAAGACAAAGACAAGTTCATCATGTCATTATTCTCCTCAATGAATTCCTCCAGGGCTCGTAGTGCATCAAGATCGTTAGGTTGGAGGTCAAGTAATTGGCAATATTTAAGCAAAACATTTCCATAACCAGAATTCTTCAAAAACACATAAGCCCTACAAAAGAATAAAAGTACATAATTATATAATAAAAAGAAAAAAATTTTTTTTTTTTTTTTTTTTTTAAATTTAAAATTCCCAGCATCTCTCATACATGTGCAGTTGCATCAATGCAGACAAACCCAGTCTGATGAAGTCCTATAGGACGAAACACGTCACATGAAAACTTTTTCCACTTTGTCATAGATCTTCCCTCCAAAACTGTTCTTGATATATAAAAATTTATATATCATTATTCTATTTAAGATTTTACATATAATTTGACCCATTAAGTTTTAAATAAGTACTTTGAAGCTCATGCTAAAGGAAAACATTTTGGCATCTTTAAATATCTTTTTTCAATGAAATTCCCAAGACAAAATATCTACAGAATTTATTTTTCTCTTATTCATTTTAAATCAATTCACCCCAGGTAAGGCAACAAAGTCACTAAGATGCAGTGGGGTCACTGAGTGTGAACGTATATAAAAAAAAAAAAAAAGATTAAGAGAGAAAACAATAAAAAAAGAGGAATTAAGAAGCCAGAAGAAAATTGACATTGCATTTAAATTTTTGAAAATCAAACTGGAAAGCAAGAAGCTGGAAGAGTTCCACAAGTGAGATTTTTTTTTAGTTCCATTGATTTCTATTTCTACAAGAATGGTTCCTTCAACAGCAGAAGTCTCAAGATGTCAGATATTTTTCAACAAGACAGCAGCTCAGCAGATGAAGTGACTTTTTTTTTTTTTTTAAAGAATTTAGTCTACTAAAACAAAAGATTGATCATGAATCAGACACACAACATGGCCTCATCATGGCTCATTGAGAATTGATTCTATGTTGTGGTTAATATGTCTCAAAGAATGGAGACAAACAGCAAATTCTCTGCTGAGTTTTGAGTGTAATGTCAAGACAATTTCTCCTCCCCCACCTAGACTATGTCTAACCTGTATTTCAAACTTATATATTTTCAATCTAATAAATATATATCAAACAAGTTCATCATCTCTTTTGTTCCGTCGATTATATGGTACTTGATATTGCCAAGCAATCTCCAATTTACAGGGTGGCCCAAAAGTTTTGCCATCCCTACATATAAGTGAGGTATTATCAAGGAAAGAATTTCACATGAATGATACCAGAATACCTATCAGGTGAAGGATGCCATTCGGAGAGACTTTGCAGCAATTAACAAAACACAACTTCAGAAAGTATCACACAGGACATGGCACCGCATCATTTTTTGCCACGAAAATGATGGTGTTTATATAGACCTTCTCGATGTGTGACAGTGTCAATGAAAGTGAAAAAAACTGAATCAAGTACATGTACTTTGTATTAACTGTATTAATTATTACTTGTCAGGCAAATGTTTATAATCATACTTATTATAAAACCCAGGTTGTGTGTGTGTGTGTGTGTGTCTGTCTGTACATTTATATATTGGATTGGATTTCCTACATTTTTCAACCGATTTCAACAAAACTTCGCAGGACAACGTAAAATTACCTTGTGGTGGTTTTGACAGCGACAAAAATTGGAAAAACACAATTGTTTTTGCACAAAATCAATTTGAAAACATGATTAAGAGGCATCCCGAAAATGAAAGGGGGACAACTCATATTGAGTTATACTTATTATAAAACCCAGGTTGTTTGTGTGTGTATGTTCGTTTATATATAGGATCGGATTTCCTACATTTTTCAACTGATTTCAACAAAACTTCACTTTTTTTTTGGCAGGTAGTGTTTCTTATTGTCTTGCACACTTTTTTCTTTATTTTTACATTCAGAATGCTTTAAAAATTCCATTTACAAGACAATTGTTTATAATAAAATTCTATTCAATCGGTAGACTCATAACGATTGAAAACAATGTTTTTGTTTGAGTTTGGGTTTGACCAATTCATAAAAAAAAACAAAAAAACAAAATCTAATTAAGACATGCATGTCCGTCAACCTTAAACAATAATCTTTGTCAATTTTATTTTTCAGTCTTTATAATGGTCGATACTTGATCTATCATTTACTGTTACATCCCCAGGCAACGCCGGGCTCTACTGCTAGTTCTTACTGGAAACAAACACAGAGCTGCAACTGTGGAGCAGTCATGAAGATCAAATTCACTGTGTGATGAGTTTCTTAATAAAACTCATAACATTGTATCACCACCGAGCAGACCCCAGACCTGCACCAATCCTGCATCAATACCCTCAAAGAGGCTCCTTACCTTGAATGCCTACTGGTTCTGAAGCTTACTCCCAAACCTCAAATGGAATGCATATATTTGTGCCATTGCAAAAGATGCTGTAAAAATGGTCAGTCCATTGTATCACTCCTGAAAATACGTAACTCCTGCTGCCATGTTTTATTCCTTATTGCCACCAGCTTGGACCTTCACATCTAGGACCCACCCTGCTATATTTGGGGAGGGGGACAATCCCTCATTCCCTTTGTGTTCCAGAACTGTTCCCTAGAACTGTTATTTTGTGGAACTCCTGAGAGAATGCTTTCCTGACAACTACAATCTTGGCCTTTTTAAGTCTAGGGTCAATCGATATCTATTCTACTCATCTGTCTAATACTCTTACTATCCCCCCCCACCACCACTTAAAATCTCTGTCATCAGAAAAGGGGTTACTGGGAGAGAAAGAGAATAAAAAAAAAAACTTTAGAAGGAACTGTAAAATCTAAACAGGAAACAAGGGATAAACCTCTACCCCTGTTCAAAATATGAGGAGGAGTGTGAACTGGACGATTATTTCTAAAATAATAACTGAAGCTTTATCTGTGATATATTTGCAATGTCTTGAGAGGAAAAAAAAAAAGTAAAAATAAACACTTGAGCTTTTAACTATTTATCGGTACTGAGAGTTTTTTGTTTTTTTAGTTCTGAATAGACAGTGGATTGATTATTTGATAAATTTCCCTCACAACATGAAAATATAAAACAGAAAGAGAAAAGAACATTCCAAACTATTTTATGTCAAATTCTATGACTCACCTATATAAAGCATAATGGTCATTGTCAGCTTGTTTCAGAAGTCGATTCAAAGTATTAATGTGCTGGATACACTGAAAAAAATTAAAAAAAAAAAACAAATTGGTTAAACATCTGAAGAGTTTAGATTGCACAATTTCGTTTTTTTCATATTTATTTACTTATTAGTGAAACATTAAACAATTATTGGAACCAGACTAAAATATTAATTTGTCAATTAAATGGCTTATGATGTGTGGTGTGATGGAAAATAGTCTGGTACTAGGAATCTGAGGGCTGAGTTTGAATTCACTTATGCGCAAAGAAAGGTACGAATACATCCCTTCTTCCCCCAGCTATGGGTTGAATAGCAAGGCAGACTGGGACCTATAGCCTTGATTGACAACCAGTTTACCGCAGAAAGAAACAGCATCCTACTGCAGGAAAATCTTCTGCCTAGTTATTCATAAATCAAAAGCAATAAGTGCATATCATGGATGGCACTTAAGTGATAGGGTGCAATGGGTAAATTATCGCCATTTTACATTTTTAATTTTGTGTACACACTTTGTATTTTATTTTTGTATATTAATTTTGTTTTTTATTTTGTCAACTGCACAGTATAGCAAGGTCAGTTGGGCATCGTCTGTGAGAAAAAGAGCACCATGACACAATTCACTCCGCCAAAAATTTGGAAATGGCATTTGTACCAGAAACTCCAATACAAACATTTCAGAGTGTTTGGGTGTCAATCTGAGAACAGTGCAGGGGATTCAGAAAGAGTTGGATGAGTCTAATGGTGATTACGAAGGTACAGCAGTTCGGAAAACTCACTGATTGTTTTGATAAGAACTCCTGAATTTGTTGGTGAGAGCCTCGGACTCAATACAGAGACCTACATCAAGCACTTTGAGGAGATAGTGCTGCCGAGTCAAGAGGGTGGCTGCTGGGAGACCCTATGTCTGGCAACAGGACTCTGCACCATGCTACACAAGCAGGAGAACCCAGTCATGGCTGTCAGATAATTTCTGCAACCACATCACCCCTTACATATGGCCAACTCCTCAGACTGCAAACTTCTTGATGTGTAGGGCACAGTTGAGTGAGAGACCAACAAAACTCCTTGTAACATCAAACATGAACTGAAGGTAAGGATTATAGCAGCATTCACCAACTTAAACAAAGAGATTGTCCAGAAGAGTTGGAGGAGATTGTGAAGTCATTCGGAGGCTGTGGTTGAAGCCAATGGCAATTTTATTGAATAAATTTACTCTTTAGTATTTTTGTGTAATGTATCAGTTAAAATGAGTTGTCAGTTTTTTTTTTTACATAATTTAGACGACAATTTATCCATTGCACCCTGTATTAAATGAATTATAATATTGCTTATTTAAAAAAAAAAATAAAATAAAAAAATAAAAAAATCTATATTTTTAAATAACTTTTTCAGCAATTACGCAGTTACCTCCCTTGTTTTAACAAATTTACAAATATTATCAATTCACCCCAAGCAAGGCGATTATGCTACTAAGAAGCAAATGACTACTGGAAGTGAAAGAGAAGGAAAATACTTTAGAAGGTACCAGAAACCAATCAATCCTAAGCAGGAAACAAGGGATAAACTTCTACTCTTGCCTAAATTTGGTCTACTAAATAGATTTAATGTTTTAACATCTTAGAACATTTTTTTCAATAAAAAAAAAAAAAAAAAAAAAAAAAAAAAAAAAATAAATAAATAAATAAATATAAAATATGAATAAACAAGTAAATAAATAACACCAACCCCACATGAAAATAAAGTCCCTTCAAATCAATAACCCTTGTCTCTACCCCTTGTGTTCTGCTTATGCCCAGTGTACTAGCTTCACCATGGGGGACCATTTTTGTGAGCTTGGATTTTCATTAAATTTTAATAAGTTCAATAAATTTGTCCCTCACCCTTCCATACTTTTGCAGTAAGAGTATTTCGTTTGCCCTACCCACCAAGTACAAATAGAGAGTCAGTCAATTTTAAGGTCAGTAGGCTCTGTTCGAATTCCTCCCCAGGAAAGAGAAAACTCAGTCTCTCCACCACCATGTATTCGTCATCAGTTACCAGACAAGAGGGTACAATTATACTTTCTAACAATGTACCAATCTCTTCTTTTTTTTTTTTTTTTTTAACTATTATAAAAAGCAAGAAATTTGATGTAATGAAAAGCAGAAATAAGCATTGAATATTTATACACATTTAAAAACACCAAAAAAAAACAAAAACAAAACACACACTTTAGATAAGAATATTAATAAAATGATTATGATTTATTTCAGGGACTAAGTGGAGGTGAACTAACTGGAGGTGGGAAGTGGAGGTGAACTAACTGGAGGTGGGAAGTGGAGGTAAACTAACTGGAGGTGGGAAGTGGAGGTAAACTAACTGGAGGTAAACTAACTGGAGGTGGCAATTGATATGAGGATACAACTCATTTGGACAAAAGGAAATGGAAAATTTTTTTCTAAAACCACCATAATGCGAGAAGGGATGAATTTCACTCCTCATGTTAGAGTGGAAAGTGTAGCCAAGATGACATAACAGAAGCTGAGGATTTTTTTTTTTTCATAGCAAAAGAAAGAAAAAAGATTTGATAATATCTTTGAGCAGGGAGGGGTACACAAGGCGACAGATAACCACCAACAGAAAAAAAGGATCTTTTTCATATCAAGAGGAAGAATAGATCCGATCTCACATCTCACATTGGAGGGGTTACATGAGGTGAAAGACGACTAAAATAGACAACAAAGAGGTCTGAGAGAAGATTGTTAAATAAACTGAAATTTCAAAAAAAAAAAAAGGAAGATGTGATTTGTGTCAGAATTGAAATAAAATGTCAACAACGTCAAAGAGAAGGATAATTGCCGAGGAAAAGTGAACTTTTCAAGGAAAGTGAGAATATATGTATTTTGTGACAAATGTAAATACGGTTGCCAATTTAGCTGTAAATTGGCGGGATTGGCTCACATTTTGGCACTGAAGGACAGTTCTCGTATTAACTGATGTCGATTAGGTTTTCATTCTGCATTTTGAGAAGTGATGATTATTTTTCAAAATTACATGTAAGTTTTATTTTTTTATTTTTTTTTTTTAAAAAAACAGTGTACTTAACAACTGGAATGTGTGTGAAATCTTCCGTTTTTTATTCCTTAACCATTTTACCCTAAGCAAGGTGATAAAGCCACTAAGATGCAAAGGCTTACTGTAAGTGAAGGAAACTGAGAAAACATTTCCAGAGGAGAAAGGACAATAAAAAGAACAGGATTCAAAGAGACAGATGATGATGATGATGATTGACATTGCATTTAAATTTTTGGAAAGGAAAACCCGCATTACAAAAAAATATGGAAGGACCAGAAATATTAAAGCCTGAAGTGAAATCAGCCAACAGCCAAATTGAACAAGAGCAAAGCAGCAGGACGAGATGGAATTGTAAAAGAGATGCTGACAGCCTTTGAGGATTTCAGCATTGACAAAATTACAAAATATATATATATATATATATATATATATATATATAACAGCTGTGATATAAAAAAAGACTTAAGTAAATCCATTTTCATAATCCTGTCTAAGAATTCAGGTGCAAAAGAATGTGAGCCTAATGAGCCACGTCATCCAAATTCTGAAGAGAGCATGCAGACAGAAAAATTATACACACAAAACACCCTTTAAAAATAGTAAATAAATATGTTAGCAGAAGATTGTGTTTAAGCACAAAACAGCTGCTCAGTGTCCACTCTCTTCCTCTCTTTATTATAGCAAGAGCAAAGTCTTATAATGGGAAAGGAAATACATGTAACTTACGTCTTGTTGAAAATTTGGTTATCCTAAAACACTTAAATAATGCTAGCTTATTAAACAAGAGAAATGAATTGCTGGTTACATGTAGGCATATAAATAAATACCTGCTTAAATATGATGATCCAGATTAATTTTTACTATAAATTACAGGGTTTTTTTTTGTTTTTTTAAAAAAATTAACAAAACAAGTAACCTCCCTTTAATATAAGTATAATAATAAAAAATTAATATTCGCAACTCTAAAAATAAATTTAATTTTTTTTTACATACATATACACACACACATATATATATATATATATAATATATATACACACACACACATATATATATATATATATATATATATATATATATATATATATACATATATACACACACACACACACACATATATACACACGCACACACACACACATATATATACACGCACGCACACACACACACACATATATACACGCACACACACACACACACACACACAAATCCTGTTTATTTTAAATGCCAAATATAATTTTGAAAATTAAAAAAATTGTAACCCCAGTGTAATATATATAACTGTGTCAACCAGATATATTTTTAAAATTTAAATTACCGAATGCTTAGTCTATACTCAGCACCTGAAGATTGCATTGTGCATGAAATTCCAAGTCATGTTATCGGTGAGGGATAATATGTATGTTTATTAACATATACTTAATAGCTTTGTTGTATTATAGCAAACACTGTTTTATTACCACCAGCACCATATGTGCAATATGTGTGTGTGTGAAATCAATGTGGTCTTGATTCATGGCAATATATGCCACTTCCTTTAATTTTCTTATTTTCTAATGAAGTAATATTTTTTTTCCCTTACCTGTAATTTATAAGAATCAATTGTGACTTTTAAGTAGACTGCATTGTGTCGGTCACTATTGACCATTTTGTCTGCCCACTCTTTACAGAATTGGCAACTTGCTGAAAGGTTAAAAAAAAGAATTTTAAATGATAAAAATAAAAAACCCTGGACCGAATTAGATTTCATTAGCTGTCACAAGTAAATTATTATATCTTTATTATTTTTATTCCTTAAATATTTCAGAAAAGTTCATGAAATGTCAATAGTTTAAATAGTTCAATGAAAATATAAAAACATTCTTACCAAAATATGTAATATAACAGAAAGTACAGGGTTCAAAACTTGTTGATTTATAAATGTCGAACTGAACCCTTTATTTTGCTTACTGGGGTAGACTATTCTAGTTCTATGTGCCATGTTTTTAATGGATATCAGTAATCAGTTATCTCCTGTTAATTCCCCTCTGAAAGTTCTCCACTGTCTTAACCAGGTATTGAACATACACACTTTGGGTCCTGTCACTAGATCTAACCAACGCCTTTACCCAAAGTGTGTGAGTTCAATACCTGGCTAAGGCAGTGGAGAACATTCAGAGGGAAATTAACAGGAGATAACTGATAATTGACATCCATTAAAAACATGGCACGCGGAACCAGAACAGTCTACCCCAGTGAGCGAAATAAAGGGTTAAGTTCAACATTCCAACCACCTGAAGAAGGTTGGAGCGTACAATGGCCGAAACGTTGTAATAAATATGGCGACAAAGATGAGGACAATAGTCCGAATAATGTAAATAAAGAGAGAACAATATTCTTTAATGTTGAAGCAGACATGGCTAAGTTGGGTAAATATCTTCATTGTTGAGCAGTGAAATAGAATTTGAACTAACAGATGAACCATACAAAGAAAAAGAAGAAAATTGAATAATTTCTTTCACAAACATGGTAACTGATATCTACACAATGTGTATATGCATGTCTTGCTGATAAAAACCAGGTAAAATAAGTAGAATGGTCACTCACTGGGTACTAGCCTAGTAAAAGGATGCTTAACTTTAATGGCCAGGTGGGAAATAGTGTCCAACACACATTTTACAAAGCTTTGCATTATTTATGTTCTCCATGTTTTATGGTCTAAAATTTATTCCTTGACAAAAATCTTTTGAATTATTACAAAAATTCTTTCCATTTCTGCCAAAAATTTAGAAAAGGAAATTAAGTTAAAATTTCAGTTCTATGTGTCAAGAAAATGAAAGAAAAAAAAAAGCCACTTACTGCCTGGATCAAAATGGAATTTATCTCCTGGTTCTAGGGTCAAAGAGATGAGTCCATTGCCTTCATGTCCAACCTTGTTTGTGGCTTTGTCAGTTGGGCCAGACACAATGTTTGGCTGAATGTCTAATGTCTGCCAACTGTCACAACTATTTGACATCACATTACTTTGCTGCAAATTCTCAAAGCCTTCCAATGTGCAACTACGCACAAACCTAAGGAAAACGACAACAAAAATTTTGAAATTTCAAGGAAGAAAAATAATAGTCAAACTCATGACTGAAACATATTTGCATCTTTTACAACAGCCATTTTCTCTGCATAAAACAAATTCATTTGGTATAAGCAGACTGATCACAAAAAAAAGAAAAAAAAAGAAAAGAAAAAAAAACTGTCATACAAATCTTGCTACAAATTTATTTTATAAGCCAAAAACTATGATTGAACAAAAAACCCTTAGATTTGCAGTTTAATAATCTCAAAGCTGATCTATTTTGGCTGATAAAATGCCTACAAATATTTTTGCAAACAAACCAGCAGATCACAATTATTGTAAAATAAATAAATAAAAATCTGTAAATCAAACAATACAAAATTGAAGCTGAAACCAATGATTGAACGAAGTACATTTAGATTTTTAAATCAATGCTCTTTCAACTTGGCTATCAAATTTCATTAGAAAAAGTAATATTAATAATTTAAACTATTTCAGACCAAATTATGACAATTTCTCTTCCAGAATTTTGAAGACAACACCAGCAAAAAAAAAAAAAAAAAAAAAAAAAGAATAAATAAAAATAAAAAGAAAAAGCAATATCTCAGTTTGGTCAGTGAAACCCATGAAGATCTCAATGAGATCAAAAGAAGTTAATTACTTTAATGAAATAATTTTGTATATTGCAATTCAATAGGGGAATATGCAAATGACAACTACAAGAGGGTACATTCAAGTCTTCAAAATTTTAATCTTGGAAAGAAAAAGAAAAAAAAAATTTATTTTTCATATTCTTATTTTAATCTGTAATGACTTTAACATGTCAATTGTCATTCCATTATCAGTGCAAAATTTAATTACTTTTCAAGTTGCAGAGAAATTTCCAGAAATAATTACTCACTTCCGAACATCTTTTTGGAACTGTTCTGTTCCACCATTTATTTCAAGATGGGCACCAATCAAAGCCTGAAAATACAAGAACCCCCACCCCAAAAATATGTCAGTATCTTGTGATCTGAACAAAGAGAAGATTTTCAAGTATCAAGTAACCATCTGTTCCAGGGATTATCTAGCCTATTATCGTCATCAATTTTGTTATTTTGCGATTATATATATATATGGCCAAAAAAGATTTAGGAATTTTATCAATAAAAACATTTTAGCTTTTGATATGAATGTGAGATGCTGTTGCTTGACAGAGATGGAGAAAATCCATTTAAGATGACTGTTTGCTTTTGTAGCCATTTTTTGAATGAAAAGATTGAAGCATTGTCATGGAAAGGACACCATATTTGACCTCCTAAATTTATCATTAGCATTTGTTTTGAGAAACATAACTATGAAATTTGATAATAATTTCAATAGGTTTATCAAATGTTTGGCCCTGGTGAGCATTATGAATTTTCAGTTGTCCAGTCAGATAAATCAAGTGAGCTTTTATTGATTTATTGAATATTATAGATCAAGTTATCTATCCAGTGCTTTTTGACAGAATTTCTGCCAACTTGAAAAATATGTTAAATTCTTGTAACTTTTACATATTTTTTTGTAGCTATATTATTCTTATGACTAATGTGTACATATATACAAATAGAGATAAAGCGAAATAAAAACACTTACACAATATATCAAATGGTGGACATTGGTGTTTAATACATCTAAACACCGACATAAATAATCCATAGCCACAACAGGCCAAGCCTGTAAGTAATTCTTTACACAAGTGTCTATTCGGCTAAGCTGAAATGAAAACAAAAAATCAAACTTACATTGTTTCAATCAAATAGGCATGAATAAAAACATTATTACATCTTAATAAAATAAAAAAAAAGAGAAAATTTTTCCTTTTGTAATTATATTAACTTTTATAATGATGTAAAGTAATGACAGGGTTCATCTTGTAAAGGCATTATTTTTAAAATTGCAATAAAAATTGAATTCTTTAGAATTACGAGTCAAGATAGGATTACCAGAGTGTAGATTAGAGTACCTAAAGCAACTTCTAAAAATAAAATAAATAAAAATAATTCTTATTCAGTCATTATACATCTACCATGTATTAAGTACAATAAACGGATCAAAACTGAACACTTCCACTATGGGATGTATGTCTTTACAAGAAATTAATTGCCTGCTGTCAATGTGTGCATATAACTACTAGTAATACTCGGTTGGGAAAAACCTCGAATAGCACAATTTGTAAATCTATCAAAACAAATTGGTACCCGAGGAAAAAAACTGGTAAAAAGAAAAAGAAAAGAAAGAACTAGAAACATCCGAACAGGGCAAAATAAATTGTCCAGTGCCTTAAGTTTCTATTCCAAAGAAAAAACCCCAAGAGAGTTATATATATATATATATATATATATATATATATAGGCAGTATATCTTCATTAATAGATGTTTCATTGAATATTATAGACATATTGTGTCTGTCTATTGTTATACTGATCATTTCCAGTTCTCTACTCAATTTCTTGATGTTAAATTCATCAAAGGCGGTGCTGTAGTTCTTTTTAACTTAACCTTTAGCATGGAAATAACAGTTGACAAGTGTTTATTTATAGCAATCTTCTTAAGGTGACAGAATGTACCTACAGTGTGAAAAGGGAGAGAATTCTATGGCGAAAACTTATGCCTTCAGTTTGCTAACGGTTAAGTACTTTCGATCCTTTCCAAGGGTAAATTACAAAGATATTGTAATTGTGCATGTTTTTAAAAATCACCATCACAATGGAATGCAGATTTTATAATAAGAATAATACTGCTAAATATATATAAATATATATATGTGTGTGTGTGTGTTACAAGAATCTGATAATTAATCCAGATTTTATTTTGTTGGTACGGTAAGAATAGAAATTTATGGGATCATTTTTATTTGTAATGGACACTTAGTTTTAGGTCATTGTCAGTACGGTCTAGCTTAATATGTACTGAAAATATTAGTGTTCTTTGTCACCAATTGTAATAAGTAAATCTTTATATACGAATTTTAAAAAAAAGCCTAAAAACAATGCCAATTACAAATGTTTAACTGACAGAAAAAAATTTACATGAATAAAAGAAAGAAAACAAATATCCCTTTATTTTTTTTTTAGTTTTTGAATTATTGTTAGGTTTCAATTAAAAAAATTATTTTCTTCCTAAATCAGGATTAAAAAAGGATTTATAAAAGAAAATCTGTCCTGGTTTTTATGTGAAAAGTTAATATTTTTACATCTTAGAATTTACATTATAAAACTGGAAGTTAATGACTGTTTATATTTTGACAACAATATAACAAAACAACTATAACAAAAATACGATTTGCTGTTTGTATTTTTGCTTCTTGTATTTCATCAAATTTAATAAAAATGTTCATAAAATTAGAAAGTAAAATGGCCGCTATAGTTGACTTTTTTTTTCTTTTTACATTCAGAAAATTAACACAAATATAAAAGATGTCTGTAATAAATGAATACTCACCCCACAATTCTTCACATGACAGAATTTATCACTAAGGATTACAGGAAATATAGCATTGTGGGAAATGTTTATTTATTACCAAAGTTAATTTGAAGAAAAATGCAGAGTGAAATCTAAATGTCAATAAAAACATAATTTCAGAGTTTAAGGAAATTATATGGCCAGATAAGGTATCATACCTAAATAGAAAGTTGAGGGTTAGGGTTTCACTATTTTATAATCCACTATTCATATGTTATGGACAAGATTTTTTTTTGAGAGAGAGATAATGACTCCAATATTAACTGAGATTTGTTTAGAAACTTTTTTCACTTGTGAGTAATCTGCACCAAATGTAGCATCTTGTAGAAGGTCAAACAGGTGTCAGTAGAGTGCTAATTATCTTTGATTTCAAATCAAAGGTGAGAAATTTTAGTTATATATAACTGATAAGGAGGTAAAGAAGAAGAAGAAGGAGGAGGTAAAGAGGAGGACGACGAGGAGGTGAAGAGGAGGACGACGAGGAGGTGAAGAGGAGGACGACGAGGAGGTGAAGAGGAGGACGACGAGGAGGTGAAGAGGAGGACGACGAGGAGGTGAAGAGGTGAAGAGGAGGACGACGAGGAGGTGAAGAGGTGAAGAGGAGGAGGACGACGACGAGGATGTGAAGAGGAGGACGACGAGGATGTGAAGAGGAGGATGACGAGGAGGTGAAGATGAGGATGACGAGGAGGTGAAGAGGAGGAGGAGGAAGAGGAGGAGGGGTAAAAAAAGAAGAAGAGGGGGTAAAAAAGAAGAAGAGGAAAAAGTAAACAAAATTAGCCAAAAAGAAATACCAATCAAAGTAAAAAGCCAAGAGTCACCTCTTAACACCTGGAACGATCCTTCTCATGTTTGTGTAGCATGAAAAGCAGCATACCCATGCAGTAAAAATAGTTGGTTTCATGTTGATCTGCCCAAAGTGAGGGCCATTTAGAAGAAAGAAAAAAAAAACAAAAAAAAAAAAACAAAAAAAAAAAAACAAACAAACAAAAAAAAAAACAAGAAAAAAAAACAAAACATGTCTGTCTTCATGGTTGTCAAGTTGACAAAAGACCAAGAGATGAAATGTTGTCGGCAGAGTTTAGAAAGAAAAGTTTTATGGGATATAAAAAGCAGAGCCATTCTTATATGGAACATAATGTTGCCCATAGATGAAGATTGTTAGATTATTTTTTTTTTGTTTTTTTTTATCATGAAAGAATTACAAAGAAAAGAAATCCTGTTCTGTTTGGAATATTAGGATCATCAAAGGACCTGCATAAGATTCACACTTCTGGCTTTTGAATTAATTTGTGTATTTCTTCCACTTTGGAGAAATCACGTCCCTCAATCCTGACCATGTGGAAATTAGAGTGGAGATAATAGACTAGAAATCCTTAAATTCCATTCTTAACTAAATGGATATCGCTAAATGGAAATTGACACTCATTGTCTTGGGAAAAAAAGCAGCATAGTCATGTAAATCTACAACAGAGTCTTCAATAAGGCTTTCTACAAACTAGCCAATGACTATGCCATGTCTTTGCCTTCATTCTCAATCATGCCAGTGTGCATCAAAAACTGGGAAAAGCCCGTTGTAAGCTAACAAGGAAATGAAATGAAAAATACCACGTCAAGGCATAAGAGCTCAAACCCTGTTTCCAATATATTTAGGTGTTTTATTCAGGGTTTTGTTTGCTCACTAATAGGTGTTAGTAGGTAGGTGATACTTGGGACAACTTTTACCATATCAGGCTAACGGATCAGCTCTTCCCCCTTTGGTTCTTGTCTTGTTTCAATATCACAACACATGGCTATAGCATCTGTAATGGGCTGTATTGGAACTACCTGAATGACATCCCAACTGTTAATATAAACTTGAGGCCAGAAATCATTGATGCCTGGTTTTGTTCTCATTTGTCCCCCCCACAAAGTTTTCATTTATTTATTCTTTTGTCTCCTTTCAGTCAAGTGAATGCTTCTTGGCAGACCCAACCTCAAAGATGCCATAAAACACTTGAGATTTTTTTTTCCCACTGAATCCAGCAATCAAATAGCAAGATCCTTTTCTGAATTTTTCAGGATATGCCTACATTGATCACCACTTTGTGACACAGATTTCAAAATTGGTCATATGTTCAAGATCATTGGTGGACCATTAAGAAAAATGTCACACATTAAAACATACTTCATGGTCAAAATCAGTTTGATGTAATTGGTAAATATACTGAGATTGGTTCACTGCTGAGGAGAATGTGTGGTGATGGAACAGTTTTAAGACAATGGGGAAAGAGAGAGTTGAAATTTCTGAGATACATATTGAAGAAAGAGGGCTTGGAGAATTTGACACTTAAAGGACATTGATGGTAAGAGGAACAGATGGAAACAGTGAATAGCGTTCCTAAATGGATGGCAGAACAGAGGATAGAATGGTTAGTTCAAAGACAAACATTACTAAGAGCTAAAAAAGACAGGAAGTTGTGGAGAGCCATTATCGCTCATGTCCTGAAGGAACACTGTACATAAAAGAAAAATATTTAACTGGTTGTATCTAACCAATAAATTTGCAGTTTTCATTCCAAGGAAGGCAATAAAGCCACTAAGACACAAGGTGTTACCAAGTGTAAGAGAATATGAGAATAAGAAAAACATTAAGGAGTGAGAACAATAAAAGAAAAGGAATTAAGACTGAAAATAATGATTGACATTGCATTTAAACTTTTTAAGATGACTGGAAAGCAAGAAGCCAAAAGAGGGTTTCACAAGCAAGACGTGCGAGTGAAGAAACTGTTAGCATAGAACTTATGGTTATATCCAACTATGTCAACTGTAAAATGATGAAACCTTTCCACTAATCATTAGTTAAGTCCCTGTTTCCCTATCTAAGATAAGTACCAGTAAAAATAAAGCATAGTTATATTGGGTGATGGCCCTATGGACATGACGGATAATGAATTACTTGTCCTCCTTGTCTTTGGCTATTTCATTACTGGCATTAAGGATAAGAGGATTAAGTTTGCTGCTTTGATTACTCAGAAGCTCACTCCTGATAGATAGTCTATTCTTGTGTAGTTTTTGACCTCGCTTCAGGATCATGTAACTGAGGATGCTCCTCTTTATCCTGAATCTCCAGTGAAAAACTGTTATACTGAAACACACCTATTCTATTGTCAATAGACTCTCCCACATATAATTAGTAGTAGTAGCCAGTGAGTTGGTCAGTTAGTTGATACCGGACATTAAAGTTTCTGTCACCACAACTAGATTGCTGCGTCATTAACTATTATTTCAAGTTCCTAACGTTTTGTACGTTGAACCTTTTTAGGACCGACTTAGTGAAATACAAGCCTCCACTGTGAAACAACTCTATAACAAAAACTTAACTGAACATTTCTACACCTATCTCCAAATGTTAACTTCCTGACACTGCAAATATATTGAGGAACTTCTCCCTGATATCTCAAACCTCATATTGCGTCTCCATGCTCTCAGAACCCTAAACAGCCACACCTGCTATACTAACCCATATGTCTATTTCTCTACTAAAATACTCAGGAATCAAAAAGTAGCAGAAATATTTTTCAGTCCAATAGTGAGCAGATATGAGAGGAGACATGAATTTATTAACATCAGCTGTGTGATGGGTCAATCAAGGCAGGTGTTAATTGCAAGGTGGGTGGTTTGAAGGAAGGTGGTGTGGTCATTTTTTTTTTTTGACACAGATATTAAAGAGGAAAAAGTGAGTGGTATTATCACTTATCACAGTCAATTTCTTTTAAAAACAATATTCAGTTTCCTGCATCTTTATCAGGCTTTTCAATAAGGGTTCTTTTCTCTTTCACTTAAATACACCAGTTGTCAATGTAACCAGTATCTCTATTGACCTCTAAATATCCCTATGTAGTTTTCTCACTCATCTGGTAAAATGTGTTGAATGTGCAGACCCCACCCCAATCTGCCAAATTGAGCCTCATGCTTGACCCTTTGCTGAGAACTGAAGCAGAATATCATTCAAACAGGAAGACAGAAATCTTGTACAGACATTCTTTTTATGTGCCATGTCTTTTCAGGACAAAGGTGATCATGACTCTTCATGAGTCCTCCCCACCTTGCAGCCTTTAAAGAGTTCAATTCCCCCCCCTTGCAGCTCTTAACAAGTTCCTGCCCTCTGCCATCTTCCCCAGACTACATTCTGTCATCCACTTGCTCAAGCCTGCTAGGTATGTCACGCATTGTTTTTCTTTGTCTCTCTTTCCCTCTGTTCGACCTGTGAGTATCAGATTCTCCAGGCCCTCTTTCCTTATTATGTGTCTCAAAAACTTCAACTGCCTCTTCTTGATGTTAAGTATAAGCCTCCTCCTTGTTTGCATCCTCTCTAAGATCTCATTGTTGCTCACACGCTCAGTCTGTGATATCCTTAGCATCCTTCTGTAGAGCCACATCTCCATCACTGTGAGCATCTTTGAGGAAATTGTCTAACATTCACTGCCGTAAAGAAGGACAGATGTAACGTAACATCTCACTCAAATCAATGCAGGGAGAGTGGGTGAAACATTGCTCCAGTTTTTGTGGATGGATCAAGTTACCACCCTCATACTTTTTTTGTCTTTTTTCTCTCCACTCCTGTTACTCATCAGCAAGATCCTACAGCTTGAACTCATCTTAATTTTTTTTCTTTACTGACTGCAGATCTTTCAATATTTTCTTTTTTTTTTTTTTTAATAAATAGTTACTCATAATAAATAATTACTCATTCTTGGCAGTAATAACAGCAGTAGTAACACTATTTTTAGCCACCTAACAATTTATGCTATTTGTTTTTTGTTTTTTTACTAGCCATAAATTCCTTTGACAAGCCAAATCAATTTGGCATCGATGACTCATGTAATTTTACTCTTCTGCCATCAGATCGAATTTTATTCACTGATCTTTATGTGGCCAAACTGCAATAAAATAATGTCACTTTTTACTATTTTACTAATATTGTTGATTTTAATTCCATCTTGGTTGGGTTGAAAACTTTTCTGATATTTTTATTAAATTGCATTTTATTTTTAAAGCATTTCACCCCAAGCAAGGCAGGAGTGCCTCTAGCACACAAGAGATTACAGAGAGTAAGAGTAAAGAGGAGCATTTGGGAAAAGTATAACTCACAAATCAAATCACAAATTATCAAATAATTCCTGCACAGACAACTAGAATTATGATACACATCCACACATGAATTATACACATAAATGCTGCTTGTCAGGACAGATATATGTGAGGTCAGCTTAACCAATGAAAAACAAGCTACACTAAATATAAAAATACCAGAATTTTCTTTTTCTCCTCCATATTTAATTTTCTGAAGCTTAAATAAAAGTGTAATATGTTAAATTCATAAACATTTCCTACTTGCTTTTATCTTATCACTGATGGATTCTGATCGATATTTGATTGCTATTCATAAATAAGTAATGCAAGACACTTGCAGTCATGTAAATTCTGAGGATGATGCAAATAAACACTGAAATATTAGCAAAATCAATCACATTTTGTTTATGAAGTCTTTGGTTACCTTCAAATACGTTTTAAAACATGAAAGTAAATGTGACAAATTGCTACATTGAAGAAAAAAAAAGGTTTTTAAAAGATACAATAACATAAAAGCAGAAATATTTGTGTTAGTTAAGATTATCAAAGAATAAAAATAATGGAAACATTATTTGGTAACATTGTTTTTGGTTGTACAAGTATTAGAAACAGATTGAAAAATAGTTTAGAACTTGGTACAATTGAACACAATAAAAACAAAAACTTTTTGTATACAATAACAAAGAAAAAAAAAGAAAAAAAAAGAAAAAAGAAGAAAAAAAAAAAAAAAAAAAAAAAAAAAAAGAAAAAAGAAGAAAAAAAAAAAGAAAAAAGAAGAAGAAAAAAAAGAAAAAAGAAGAAGAAAAAAGAAAAAAGAAGAAAAAAGAAAAAAAGTAGAAAAAAAGTAGAAAGAAAAAAAAGTAGAAAAAAAAGAAGAAAAAAAAAAGTAGAAAAAAGAAAGAAAGAAAGAAAGAAAGTAAAATGAACAATAAGAAGCTGCAAATTATAAAAGTGAGGTATCTTGGGAAACCATTTCAACCTGGCTGCATTTGTATGATAATTTGATGACTAAAGCTGGAAGCCAAGAAAGATGGGTAGATAAAATAATACAAGGATCAAGGGATCTCTAAAAGTTTTCCATTGAAAGGAAAAAAAAAAAAAAGTTATAAGTTTTTTTGTTAGTAATCAAGCAAAATTGAAAGTGCCAGTTAGTGAAATTTTCTTTTTTTTAATAAAGAAATTAAGTAGAGATCCCATGATTGTGATTGGTATAGATATTCTTATAAAAACAAGGTGAGGACGAGACAAATCTTATTTATCCCACAAATTTTCAAAATAAAACTACATGTTTCCATGCATTTAAAAAGCATTAAAAAGGTTTAGTTTGAAGCAAATTGTTGAAAGGCAAAAGGCAGATTAATGTTAACTGATCATTGAATTATAAACATTTGTCATTAGGTGGAATTTATATATTTCAATACATGCCACAAAGAGATTTACGGATTCATTTTCTGACAGCTTATCAACCCTTTTCAGGTTATTTAAAGACAGAAAAAATTTAATTCTTAAATTGTAAGTTTTTTTTTTTTTTAGATAATAATGGTTTAGCAATACAAGTGTTATTAATTAACCCATAGCTGGGTTAATTAATAAGAGGTGGCTTCATACCTTTCCTAATAGTATTTGTGTGTAAGCGAATATAATGAACCCAATAGGAATTGGAACTCGGCTATCCGATTAACAATTCTGAGTCATTATTCAGCACACCACCTGCACATCCAAGTTTACAGCACCTGGTATTCCCAAGCAGTCACCCATCTAAGTACTGACCAAGCTCAAGATTGCTTAACTTCGAAGATCGTATGGGAACTGGTGTTTCAATGTGATATGGCTATAAGTTGCCACAAAGAAAAACAAATAGTAAAAAAAACAAAACCCAATATATCTTACAATATTTCTTTATTACATACCATAATTTTTTCAATCCTAGCTAGAGGCAACCAAATGTCTAGCCACACTGATGAGCTGTGATACAGCAAAACAGTGTCTGTGGATGACTATATATATATATATATATATATATATATATATATATATATACACACACACACAGAGGGTGCAATGGATAAATTATTGCCATTTTATATTTTTAATTTTGTGCATGTGTATTGTTTGATTTTATCAACTGCCCAGTATAATAACACTAATTCAGCAATTGGAATCACCTGTAGTGGGAGAATCAGCATTTTACTTGGTAAACAAAGTTGTCAACAGAATGCTTAAAAGTAAAATTTTAAAACTTGACATTTAATTTTAAATGACTTTCAGGGCTTTTGAAGCAATCTATATAAATGTGGGAAAACTGAATATATACTTTTGTATAAGCCTACCTCATGGATAATGCAACCCTTGATTTTTTTTTGTTTTTGGTATGAATTTTAACATCTCCAGAAAAGTATTATCTGTGTATAGGGCAACCGGTCACCGAAAATACAGTATTTTTTAACCACTTCAAAAAAAAAAAAAAAAAAAAATACTTCTCTATAATGCAATCCCCTATTTTTTTCTGTAAAACACCAATCATAAAAATCCAAACCCCTATTTTTTTTGTGTAAAACACCAATTGTAAAAAATTGTACTATATTTGAGTATATACGGCAGATAAATTTTAATAACAAAATCTAATACCCCCCCTCACCTACCATGATTGATTAAACATTGTAAATTATGGGTTATTAAATAAAATCAGGTTTCTGTTTGGACTTGAAATTCTCTCTAGCCTGAACAAGTTTAAAATCAGTCCTTGAATTAATAAATACTAAGTTATTTTTAAAATCTTCAACATTCACAGCAATCATTAAATTTAGAGAACAGAAAAAGGTTCAGAAAATAAAAATGGTAAAAATCACTTTTCCATCTCACATTTGAAACAAAATTTAGTGAACAACTATTTAGTGAAGAGAACTTGTTTATGAATTCACAAAAAGACACACTGACCACTTTGCAAATAATGCAGATAATTCATGCCTTGACCTACAGAAAAAAAAATTGCATAGCATTTGGATTATGGTAAAAATCAATATCAACTCAAAGAGCAACTTTTATTATAGTGTTGACAACACAGTCATTATATTATACAACAGTTTAAAAGTTTGAGGCCACCCTTGGTAATTTGTTAAATTGGCCCAATAAGTAATTATTTTGTACTTTAAATAAGAGAAAATTATTATACATGGTTAAAAAAAAATAAAAAAAAAAAAAAAAAAAAAAAAAAAAAAAAAATAGATATGATTTTTTTTTTTTTTTATTAGAAATTTTATTATGACAAAAAGAAAAAATGTATTTTATGATTAAATTTTACTCTCATCAAAATATCCTCGTTTAGCCTTGCAGCACAAATTTTTGGCATTCATTGCAAAAGTTTCTCAAAGCATGTTTCATAACTGATTCCCCCCACCCCAAATGACTAAGGATTCTTTTTCATTTTATTTTTTCCACTCTTTTGTCAAGTTCATCCTATATTAATTCTGGGGTAGTTCAAACTATTGAATTGTATGTTTTTATATATATATATATATATATATATATATATATATATATATATATATATATATATATATATATATGTATGTATGTATGTATGTATATATGTATATATATATATATGTGTGTGTGTGTGTGTGTGTGTGTGTGAGAGAGAGATAGAGAGAGCTTGACCATTGACACTTGTAGCAGTATAAGCAAAGTAATTAAAGGGCCTGCTTGGTGGATGAGATAGTTGCATATTCTCAAGCAGAGGTGAAAGAAGATGATAGGACAAGAGAGAAAGTATGTTGTGTCTTTTAGAGCATAAGGTAAATATGACAACTGTTCAGGGAGTTTTTCTCTGCTTGTTTCCATCCTCTTATTTATCAATCACCAGTGTCAGTTATAATTAGGGATGGAGTTGTGATGGATAACAGTCATCTATCCTGTTAATCAGATTAAAAAGATTTCTAGAAGTGAAACAAAACAGTCATAACTTCACAATTTAATATCTGTCTTACTCTCAACTATGAATTATATAGAACACATTTTATGGCAACATAATTAATCTGTTTTTCAAGTTGAAGGCTTTTTAAATCATAACCCCACCCTGAATTTGCACCTCAAAATATTGCAAATATATTCCCACTTAATATCCTTCTTCCTTCACTGCAATGACAATGATGGAGTGTATTTAAGTGCTTCTTAAATCTGCTTCTCGTGATATAATTAATGAACTGCTATTCTGGCTGACAAAAAAGAAGAAAAAAAAACCTGAAAAGAAGAATTCTTTGCAATAGTGATTTGTTTTTATGGCTTATCAACACTTTGTTGTTTATTAAAACCCAAAAGATATTTGGGATTGTAAAATTTCTATTATTTTTTTTTTTTGCTAGTAAATATTACATTAATAATTTTTTGGGGGGAGATATTTATTTTTTTTTTTTTTAGATAAAAGTCTTAATATTTAACCCATAACTGAAGGGGAGAAGCAGTGTATTCATATCTTTCCCAAAAGTATTGTGCATCAGTGAATGTAACTAACTCAACTAGAATTTGATCTCAGCTCTCTGACTTCTCCTTTCTAGCCACTACCCATTACAATTCATCCCCTTGATGGAATGAAGCACACAAAGTCAATATAATCATTATGCCAATAAGAGAGCACTGCCTATTTAAAAGTGGTCAGCAGAATAATAACTTTAGGACATTTTTAAAAATTATATATATATATATATATATATATATATATATACACACACACACACACTCTCTAGCAGCCATACCCAGCTAGTAGATCAAAAAAAGCGTTCAATTAAAATGAAGCAAAAACAGTATCATGCTTAGATGTAACAGAGTCAATCTTGTTCAATTATTTTAAAGTACTTTCATTAAAAAACATTTTGAATTAATGCAGTTACTGATATAACAGAAGTAGTCTGTATTTATTCAACTGAAGTTAGCTGAGGACCTGAAGGGGTAAAACAGGCAACATGAAAACCCATTTCAGACCACAATTATTTTGGAGTTTTTGAAATTCAATTTGTCAGTGTGCTACCAGGGATGTAAAAGAGGATACATTTATAAAGCAGTTGTTTAATGAAAATTGGTTGAAAGACCAATGAAAAATAAGAAAGCAGTAAAAATTTACTATTTACATGGGTTTTCACTATAAGGGTGGACTCAATTATCAAGTTAAATGACTGTTAAAAAATCAACTTATTGTTGGCTACAATTGAGTGAAATTTGTATTAGATTGCTTGAAAATCGGGGGACTTTATAGTTTAAAATTTGTGTTGAAATTGTTTTGCAGTTTTTTGCGTGGCATAGAAATAAAAATGAGGTATCGTTGAGCTCATCATAATGTAAGTAATCTACATACTGAGTTTGAATGAAATTGTAGGAAAAAAGTTGAATTTATCGATTGTTGATTTTTTATGCTAAGAATATATCTCTTACATTGTACAATGTATGTGCCAAGTTTGGTAAAAATTGGTTGGATGGATCTCAAGTGTAAAGGTATCATATAGACAGACATCCTCTGTTTATATATATATATATATATATATATATATATATATAAAATGAAACCACCCACTGTAGTGCATATCTAGCAAGACAGTGTAGGAACCTTATTAAATGCTCCTTTACTATAGGGCCCACTTGGTGGATAAGGTGGTTGCATATATATAACCAGACCCAGTAGCCACTATTTGAAATGAAACAAAGGCCATTTCTCCTCTTTCAATCCAGTGTTAAGCTTAAGAAATGGGGTCTTATTTTGGAGGACCAGAAACATCTTATATCAGGTCATCCCATAAGTTCTGTCCAAATTTTAACTTTTTGTTAAAATGAATGAAATTTAAAGAGTATTTTATAATGTCTAATCATTATTTTTATGTTTAGATGCATTTAAACTGATCAAATTTTATTTCAGAGAACAATAAAATTAAATTTTGTTTGATTAAAACCCTGCTAACATGGAAGTACCCAAGAATCATTTGAGGCACATAATGCTTTACGAGTTCAAGAATGGAAACTCATCAGCCAAAGCGGCTAGAAACATTAAATTAGTTTATGAAGAGGAATGTGTGAATGAAAGAACTTGCAGAAGATGGTTTGCAAAATTCAGAGGTTGAGATTTCACCCTTGAAGATGAAGATCGAACCGGACGTCCAGTTGAGTTTGATGAAAAGCTTCTTGAAGAAGCCCTTGAAGAAAATCCTGCTTTATCAGTTGAGGAATTGGCAGTGGTTCTCAGTTCAAACCATACAACTGTTTATCGTCATCTTCAACAACTTGGAAAATGGGTGCCTCATGAATTGTCTGAAAACAACTTCAAATCCCGAGTTGACATCGGCTCTTCTCTCCATTCTCGCCAACTTGTTTCACCTTTTTTGGATAGACTTGTGATTGGCGACAAAAAAATGGATCTTTTATCAAAATGTTAACTGTCATAGACAGTGGCTTGGTAAAGGGGAAGGACCCCAGCCACAGCCGAGAAGGGAACTTCATGGGCAAAAGGTGGTTCTTTTAATCTGGTGGGATTGCCAAGGAATAATCCACTTTGAATTCTTACCACCTAATGCAACAATTAATGCTCAAATATACAGTCAGCAATTAGAGCATTTGAACCAAGCTTTGAGGAAAAAAGACCTGCTCTAGTGAATTGAAAAGGGGTGATGTTTCATCAGGACAATGCGTGACCCCACACAGTAAGAATCACGTCACAAAAGATCGAAGAACTTGGTTGGGAGAAAATTCCTCATCCACCTTATTCTCCCGATCTTGCTCCTTCAGACTACCATTTTTTTCGTAGCTTACAAAATCATTTGGAAGAAACAGCTTTTATAACACAGGAAGAGGTT